TCATGCCCACCGTGCTGGTGAGCACTGCCATGGTCCAGAGTGTGGCTGTGTGCTGCTGCATGCTGGAGCTCTGCGGCTGCTGAGTTCGAGATTGTCCTGCTGGTTTTCCTAACACTCAGAAAAGCTCTACAGGAAGAGGTAGTACAGGTGCAAGTAGTACAGGTAGGGCAGGTGTGGTGAGGCAGTACATGATCGTATTGTCGGGCACGAAGCGAAGAGCCAGAAGCACGTGGCAAGACCACTTTGCAAAAACCGACATGTTGCTGTCGAAACTCGTCTGCAAGTCGAAACTCGTCTGCAAACATGGTCATGGACATGTGCACACTGGGATGGTCTGCAGGGCTGAAGCTAGGGTTACCGGAACTCGTAGCGCATGTGGATGTCACTCAACATGGTCTGCATCGTTGCAAGGGCACTACACGGCAGAGAAACGTTCCCGAGAAAAAACTGCAGGCTGTTTTGAGGGCCTCGCGAAAGCTGTCTTGCCAAGCTCTTGTGGAGGTTGCGACGAAAAGAAGGAAAGAGCATCAAGGTTGCCTCTCTGTTGTGCTGAGACTCCCCCTATCGCACAAAAGTCGTCGTCCGCGGGGTAGCTGCTGTCCCCCGTTTCATTCACGTCACTTTGTGCGAATCTTTCTGCTCCTCTGTCGCCTTTTTGGAGCTGGGCGGCCATCGGTCGACTTGTTGGGGGCAAGGTTGGCAATCGCTTCTTGTCCCCCGCTTGCCCATGGCACGTCGTGCATCTCCACAAACTTTGTCTCGAGGGCAGCCCATGCTATCCTATCGGCTGTAATAGACTGCCACTGTTCGCCGGCTGCCGCGGCGATGTGTCTCTCAACGTCGAGATGCGGGTTGAAGCGTCCGGCATGTCGCTGTCCCCCCCACGAAGGGGGGATGCTCTGCTCGATTCGCCACCATTGTAAATCTCGCCATTTCAGCATGGCTCGCGCTACCTGGTCCCCCCGATAGGCATGACCATGTAGACCCCACACTTGCGAGAGAATAAAAGTGGACCATCTGTCGATCTCCAGTTGGTGGAGGAGCACCCGGGCTTTGCGTAGTGTGCGGGTGTTCCACTCGACCCACTGTTCCCC